TACAATATATAATAGTATATTCATTTCTGGATGTGTATACTAAATATTTTTCTGTGTGTGTGTGTGTGTGTACACATATATTTTGTATACATTTGTATACATTGTATACATTCAGATTGTGTGACTATTTCTTCCTGAATAGATTGAATATGTGGGGGTGTGTCTGGCTCAGGAAGGGGTCTGTGCTGATTTTAACTGCAGATTATAGCTTCAGAGGCCCGAGTGTTGCTACCAGAGGGCTTAGAAGGAACCATTCTAAGTGGCTGTGGCATTTCTTAATTCCTGTGTTGCTTTCAGTGTGTGACTCTGGGGGTCTTTTCTTGCAGGTCATCCTAACATGGGTGGACCAATGAGAATGAACCCTCCCAGAGGAATGGCCATGGGCCCACAGGTATGACAAATCGGCTGCGCAGAGGGCACGAAACTCTGATGGGAGTTAGTTTCTACATCTAGTAATTGCAATAGTGAATGAGACAGCTGTGCACTTAGGCTTGCTTTTAATGGTTATATAACTGTATGGAAGCGCCTCTTACAGGGTGAAATGTAACTTTTCTTGAATTTGTTGCTATAATTGTCATTACTCACTTATGGTGAAGACTTTTGTCTTTTGTTATCTGCCTTTGACAGTCCAGTCATGTTTTGTGTATGATGTGTGAATATAAAACAAAACACTGAAACCTGTGCACTCAACAAAATCAAATCTTTTTAAAGTTCTTGTAACTTTGCTTCGAAGCTCTAACTGTGTGTTGGATGTTTTTTAAACATCTTGTCTCTTAGAATTATGGCGGTATGAGGCCTCCTCCCAACTCAATGGGTGGTCCAATGCCAGGAATGAACATGTAAGTCCCATTTGCTTCATCTTCAACATACTGCTGTTCATTCGCAAGTAGTTTTAGTAGCAAGCAGAATCCAAAAAAAGGACATCAGTTAAATGTTCTTCATTAATTCCGAGGAGCTGTTGGAAAAAGGTGTCCAGAGTTTATCCTTGGATCTAGTAAACTTGTATAACTCTCATATTTCCTTTATATTCCCAGTTCCCTTTATTGTTGGTTTGCTTTCTAAACTTTTCTTTTTTTTCCCCCTCAGGGGTCCCGGAGGAAGAGGGCCTTGGCCAGGTCCTAATGCTAACTCTGTGAGTTTGAAGCCCTCTGCACATACACAATAGGTGGCAGGCAGACTTATAGCAACAAGAATAACAATAACTTGGCAATATTCAAACTCAATGCATTGTATAATAACTTGATAATGAACTCGTCTAGTTTTCCTAAACAGATTTAAATTGTTTAACATGTTTAAACAATGTTGGAGATCATTTTGAACACGGCTAATGTGTTGCATCAGTCAGTGCCGGCAAGTTTGTCCCCTAAAACCAGGTTCATCAAGTACATTTGGAGATGACTAAAGTTTAAGCAACACCAATTAAACCTCTGAGAAGAATGTGCTTTCTCATTGTTGTTCTGTGATGCTAAACCAAAGTCATGCATCTCCTTTGTTAAATACCCAAAGATAATAAACGGGTAGCTCTTGCACAAAAATCGAGGAAATTTCTGACAAAGCATTTTCACCAGCTGAAGAAAATCTCCCTGACAGACTTGCCGTTTACTGCAGGATTGTTGTATTAGTTTTAATTTTCTTGTCTAGATGAACATCTCTATCTTTCAACCTTCAGATCTGACTCTTTATTTCTTCCTCCCCCTTGCAGATAGCCTACTCCTCCTCATCTCCAGGAAACTATGTGGTGAGTTCTTATATAAAAGCATGTCTGCTGACTAGGATGCAGTGTAGGCTTTTTTTTTTTTTCTTTTTTTGTATTAAAGAATGCTTCATTTATGCTCCAATGAGTATAATTTCACAGTTGTCTTTTTTCTTTCCTCAGGGTCCTCCAGGCGGAGGAGGTCCACCTGGAACTCCCATCATGCCAAGCCCAGGTGGTGCGTCACCTAACTATGTCCCCAGCACTAACACTTGTGCATTAGAAATAGAAGTGTCTCCCATTTTCCCCTTCATCTAAAAAAAAAAAAAAAGCATGAGTGTGTCCACTCACCGAGTGCTGTCAGTCTGAGTGCTCTCATTATTTCATGTCCGCTTTCCTGTTTTCATATTTGATTCAGAGATTTTATATCAACCTCCTGATATCCCAAAACTGAACATTTTGTTCTCTTTTTTTCTTAGATTCAACTAATTCCAGTGAAAACATCTATACGATGATGAATCCAATTGGACCTGGAGGCAACAGACCCAATGTGAGTCTCCTATAACTTTTCTTTTTTAACAGTAATACTATACTGTTCTCTTAGAAGTTTAACTTTGCAGCCTTGCTTAATTTTTCAGATATTGCACATTGATTCTTGGCTAAAATAATGGATGCTATTGTAATGATTAAAATTACAGCCTTAACCTCAAAATATAATCCAGTTCTAATAGGGCTTATAACCACATCACTGGGCACCAGTACAATCCAGCATTAGAGAAACCAAATGCTGCCACAGTGAGCTCAATAAGAATTGACTGGGAATGAAGTGGGGAGAATAAATTAAACAATCTCAACTTCACCTCAGGCTGAAAACATCACAATTATATCAGAGAGGTCACGGATGGAGAATCGTGTTAGTGGTTACTCATTAGATTTGTTCCACACCTTTTCACCAGTTCCCTATGGGACCTGGGCCTGATGGGCCAATGGGAGCTATGGGAGCCATGGAGCCACACCACATGAATGGATCACTAGGTGGGTTTGAACACTGATGGTTTGGTATGTATACAAACAGAAACTGCTTACAAAAACAATTGACCTGTTTATCTCCTTTTACTTCCTCAGGGTCTGGGGATATGGATGGGTTGCCAAAGGTATGTCGACATGAGATTTTCTATAAACGCTTCTTATTTGGGTGTTTTTGTGAACTAAAGCACTTTTTTAGAATCTCTGCCTTCTGCACTTCAACTGTGTTGCCAATAAGAAACAATTTTTCAGTTTAACATTGATTTTTACCCCCCGTTTCTGCCTCTAGAGTTCTCCCAATAACATGGGGGGCATGAACAACCCTCCAGGGACGCCGAGAGATGACGGCGAAATGGGCGGCAACTTTTTGAACCCATTCCAAAGCGAAAGTGTGAGTAGAGCGAATGAATGACATCTCATGACCCCTTAACAGTTCTCCTTGACATCTTGACATGAACCAGTGGAAGAATGCAAGCAGAGGATGCACCTGGTTTTTTAGAATTAATCTCAGACTGTTGAAAATGTTTTGGTAATATTTATGAAATTTGGTCCCACTTCAGTTTATTAATTCACTTTAGCTGAATTGGTTAGTCTAAACACATCTTAGTATTGGAGCAGTAAGGTAGCATTGTTGCTTTTCAATGGATGCCATTAAAGAAAGTCTTGTGACACATGCAAGTGTTAGTGATCACAACTAAATAGACACATATGGACGAGAATAGGGTATCGCTAACATGGGAGAAGCATGACATAGTAGGAATTAACAATCAGTCACAGACAAAAATAACAGCAGTTCACGCCAAAACTAATTTAATACCGTGACTCTGCTCACACGCAAAGGAGGCCTGTGGCCACACAACAGAGCCTGAAAAGACCCAGCTCAATTTCTAGTTCATGTTTTGGTAACAAGGAAGCAAGCAGACCTTTTGAAATAACTAGTTTTAGGCTTGTTTTTAAGTGCAGCTTTATTTCTTATTTAGTCTTTATACTTTTAAAGAGCTCCTTTTATGCTCCATATTTTCTTCTTACACTTGAGTAGAGTAGCTTTGCATGTTTCACAAATCAGAATCATCCCAGTTTGTCTAAAACTGGGCTTTTTGCTTCATTTCACCTGCTGTCTGATACATGCAGTTTTAGCTCACTTCCCTCACACTTTAAGCCACCTTTCTTCTGATTGGCTGCCCCTTGCAAAGAGTAGGTTTGTGTGTTCACAGCCCAAGCTGTTCAGTTATGATGACTATATCTAACTAATCATAGAGAGGCAAGAATTTAAAAAAGAAATGTCTAAAAGTGAGTATTTAGACTCACTATTTGGACTGAACTCCCACCCCCCCAAAAAAATAATAAAATATATATATATTTTATTTTTATTTTTTTTAGCGGATTAATAACTTGTGTTCTGCTTGCATTGTAGCCGCTTGCTAATCACATACAGTTCCCTCTGTATCAGTGATGTGATTGCAGTTGATTGACATAAATGTTTGCTGCGCTTGAGTATATGATAAATACCTGCATTTTATTTCATTTTAAAAATGTACTATATGACTAGAAGTGGCAGTATCTGTAAGCCTTGTGTTGCATAAACAACTGTAATGCTCTCTTACCTTTGGCCTGAAGAGCCACCGGGTGCACAGACTAGAACTCGAGCCAAGCCTTAATCACTCGATTCAGCTAATCAGTAGCGGGGCTGGGTATCATCTGAGTTAAACAGCTGTTGGATAAATGATCATTAAAACTGCTAAATATCTGTTTGAAAGCTAGGATTCATTTCAGTCCATACAAATCATATATGTACTATTCCCAGCCCTTATTAGACATACAGCAGAAAGTTCTGATTGCCTGAGTTAAAGCTTGGCTTCAACCATAGTCTGAGCTTCCTCTAGCTTTGCAGGGCGGGGTTTGAGCGCCCTCTGGTGTTTAAATGTTGTCAGTGACATATCCACTCATCTGTGCCCTCCTCCCCCTTCCCTCTCTCTCTTTTCAGTATTCACCCAACATGACGATGAGTGTGTGATTTTATTTTCCTTTTTTTTTGTATTTTCATTTATTTCTTTCCCCCTCTTTATTTTTTGTAACCTACACCTGATTTTTTTTTTTTTCTTCAACTGAATCCTTACTTCACCTTGGACTGGATCACTTCCCTTCCTCCGCCCACACACACCCTCTGTCCCCTCCTCAAACGGGGACCCACTACTACCCAACCCACCACCCCGTTTTTGTTTGTTTTTTTATTTTCCCCTCTTCTCACTCGGGAACTCTACGGCCACAGCCTTCTGGGACAGCCCTTGAGCATGCTGGGACTCTAATTAAGACGGGCCCTCCCGGCGCATGTAAGCTGGCTGCGGGTGTGAATAGGAAGCAGTCACAGAGCAACAGGAAGAGCCTCCTCTCTGACTCCGGCCCCAGCCTCCCTGGCTTCCTGTCAGGGTCTAGACAATGAGCGAGGGAAGGAGGACAAATGGAGAGAAAGGGGGAGAAAGGAGACTTGAAACACAGCCCTCCCCCTAATGACACAGTGTCAGGTCTCTCAGCAGCTGCCTGGAAGCGTCTCAACCACGACTTTGGATTTTTTTGTTTTGTTTTTTTTAATCATCGTCTTTTGATTTGTTGCTGTTCCTGATGGGGTTATCGGTGGGTCGGGAAGAACCGACCTTCGTGCCCCCCACATTGTTCTCCTTGTGTGTACATTTGTAACAGAGGTGTTGTGATGATCAGTGAACAGGATTTTCCTTTTTTGTGTATGTATTGTATCATTGCTATTTTTATTATTGTTATTAATGATTATTGGTATGATCATTTTAAGATTAGGTTCTAATTTTCTGTTGTTTGTAAGGGCACATTTATTATGATGAAGACATTATACGTGCACAAAAATCGGTAATTATTTGCTGTGTAACATGAGGCTCCGTGTGAGCACACTGCCCCCTGCAGGTAAGATTTTATTCCTCACGGTACTAATTGGTTCTTTGTTTTTGTTTTGTTTTTTGGAAGGTTGGCAACTTCCTTTTATAAGATCTAAAATTTTAACTTGTTGCTCAGTAACTCACACCCGAAGAAGAGTCTCCTAGGTTCCCTGCAGTAAAATGCACAGCTCTATTTATTTATGTACTTTTAATTTGTCTTATGAATCATTGTTCCTTTTTTTTAAGTGTTATCCCTGGTTTTTTTTATTATTATTATTTCTTTCTCAACTGCAGAACTAGTAGCAACTGTGTAAATATGCAGATCCACTCAGCAGCATCTTCTTATCTCCATCATTAGACCCCCCCTCCATCCATCCCGAAAGGTGCTGACGTTATCACGAGTCCAGTTTGACCACACTCACACCGCTCCCACTAATGCTTCCCACTGTTCACTCTGTCATGTACATACGTAACATGTTAGTCTGTCTGCTGACCTGTAGTGAACACTTGGATCGTTTTCATTTGCCGATGAGGTCCCCCACACACTGTGATGTCCGTCTGCACTTTGCGGGCGCTTGCTTTCACACACCGCTCATTTTAGCTTGCAGGTGTTTTCGTTCGAATATGTGCTGTCCTTCCTCTTTTTTTACGGTTGCTTGTGGTGAAATGGCTTCTGGCCATCTGCTGATCGGATCAACGGTGTTTTTTTCTTTATTTTGGAGAATGGCAGGTTAGGAAGCAGCAATGGCATTGTTCTGTTGACTGTAGCGAGTGGCCTCCCTTCCATTTGCTTCCCTATTCTCACCTCTCTAATAGGCCAGCATTGACACACAAGACACTCAGTCACACACCACCCCTCTCTGATATTTTTTTTTTTTTTTTTTTTTTTGGTACAACTCCATGTTTTAATTTTAATTTTTTTTGTAAATACTGTAAAATGCATTTTGATATCATTGACATGTTTTGATATTTCAAATCACGACTTTAACAGTTGATCAGAAACGAGCTGATTTGGGCAACTGTGTATTTGTTCAGAGAAGGCCTGTCTTTTACTCAGAAATAATATGAATGACGAGAGAAACGGAAACTGGAGCTGCTAAAGACTATTATGCTATTTCACCTCATCACAGACAAACGTGGGGCTTTTACTGTGCATCGGCGCTGTTGTGTCAAGCGGTCCAGCGGGACAAGGGAGGAAAAACCTTTTGTAGTCGAGCTAATTCACTGTCACACACATGTACCTGAAAAACTCAGCTTCAGATGAGATATAAGTCTTCTTCCTCTGCCTCTTTTATTGGAAATTTATTGGGGGGGAACAACCTACCTCTGTTTTTGCAAATTCATGGTCAAAAACAGAGGTAGGTTGTTTCCCCCCCCCAATAAATTGGGACATTTTTATAATTAAACTTGTGGTCTCTTGACACAACTGAATCGCAAAGGAGGGGTACAAAGGACACTGGCTCTCAATCCAAAGCACCAGGGACCAGAGTTCGTGCTTTACTATGAAGGAATTTTTTTTAATCTATTTAAAAATGAGGCAAGAGAAATGTTTGAGAAAAGTAAAAATGGGAAAAACAAGAACACGTGGGACAGATTTGTTGCTAAGAAGCGGTGCAGGAAGAGGCGTTTTCCTCCCCTGTACTTTGAAATGCTGTTGTATAAAATGCAGTCCGACTTCTTTCTGTCCTGTAAGTAAAGCCGTCACAACGTTGATCATTTCTGTATTTCTATTGTGCTGATGTATAATACTGTAACATTCAGGGGTGGGGAGGGTTAAGAGAGGACTTTTGGGGGAGGGGGTGGGGAGTAAAGATTTTTTTTGTTTGTTTGTTCGTTTGTTTGTTTTTTGTTTTTGTTTTTCCCTGTTCAGTTCCTCATTTTTCCTCTTGATGACAAAGCAGTATTGAATATGAGGCAGTCTGTCCTTGGGGAGTTGCTTTGTATCTCATGTTAGGGTAGTTTCAGATCCTAAATGTCTTGTGTAGTAAAATAAGAGGTTCCTTCGTATGTTTCTTTATATTGTAAAGTTTCTTTAGACGAAAAAAAATATTACTTATTGGAAAAAAGGTGGGAATCTGCATTGATAATGTATTTTTTTGTTTTGTTTTGTTTTGTTTAATTTTCATCAAGTTGTCAGTCGTTTTTTGCCTGTGTCCCCCTTGTTGTAGATACATATTAAAAATAAATAAAATGACTTCACTCCTTTTGCCATGAATATAAATTTTTGCCTCCAACATAAATGCAAAAGTTGATGAACAGGAGTCAGTTTTCAAAAGGTTTGTGTGAGTTTTTTCTTTCTAAATATTTGTTTCATACAATTTATATCTCCATTGTGTTTAATACAGAATCAACAAGAGAGCTGCAGCCAGGGATTAATTTATAATTCATTATTTAGTTTTGCAGAAATTAAAAGCAGAAACCTTAAGTTACTTAATTCTAAGAATAATCCACTTTCCCATTGTTAGTGTGTTTGAGTTATTTGTTGACTGACTATTCTTATCATATCTTTTTCATTGCATTTCTTTATGTTCTGCTGGTTCACGTTGTACTTCTCTGACAAAACACTAGTGTTTGAACCCAGATATTTGTGAATGGTTTCCACAGCAAGCTTTGAGTTGATTGCTTGCTCATGTTGAATGAGAATTTAAGCAGGTATCCTCTAAAGTTAAATTAGTTAATAAACCGTACTCCATCTCAGAATCACAAGTCTGAGTATACAGTAAGCTCTGTAAGCTTTTGGGCAGCAGTACAATTTTTTTTCCCTCCTAACTTGCCTCTGAACACCACCACAGTGTTAAATCAAACAATCAAAATGCAACTCAATTGCTGTTTTTCAGCTTTGAGTCATGGGGTCTAACAAAAGTGTTTCATTAATTGTTTAGGGATTTTTCAGAGGCTGTGTCTGTATCTAACTGAAAGTTTTGAGGGGAGGTGGAGCCTGTCCCAGCTGTCATACACCCTGGACAGTTTGTTAAAGGCTTAACACAGAGACCAAACCACTATTCATGCTAACATTCACACCTACAACATACATTTAGAGTCACCACTAGACGACATGCATATCTGGATTGTGGGGTGGAAGCTGGAGTATCTGAAGACAATTAAAGCACTTAAAACATGTCTTATTGGGTTACGATCAGGTAACTGAGTTGGCGATTGAAGAATATCCCATTTACTTTCATTATCCAAGTGTTGTAGCCCTGCACACTTCAGAATGTATCCTGTGACTTCTATCAAAAGTCACACCATCAATAAAAACTCCTTGTTCCACTGGCAGACATGTGTCTATACCATTGCCTTGACCATGTTTGATGGATGATGTGCGGTGCTTAAGATAGATCGTCAGTATTTCCTTTTCTTATCATCATGCAGTATGCTTCAAATCCTCTGTTCTGTTCCTTCTCCAAACTTTTCTCTTCCCATGATTATACAGTAGAGGCTAAAACTAGTCCAAGTACTGGCGAACCTAACTTGTAAAAATGACGCTGGGACCATTATCCTTCAAATATAATATGGTCTCACATGTCTAAATAGTTCATCCGTGTTCCTCCTTTTAGCTGTTCAAGCTGCACCGAGTGACGACGCAGTGACCTCCTGTTTCTCTCGTTGTAGCAGGAGGCAGAAGGAGGAACCAGTGAGGTGACGGAGGAAGCTGAGGGCAGTGGAGGGAGTAGAGCTGGCCTCACTGATGCTCTAGAGGGAGGAGAGGAGCTGGGTGGGTGAGGCAGAAACACCATGGTTCTGCTTTTGGCTGGTGAAACCTGGGTTGGAACCTGGAGGTGAGATGTGGATTGGCTTCCCAAAGGAGGGAGGTGAAGTAGAGGAGGGTCGACTGTGACAGAGGGGAGGGTATTCCTGCGGAGCTGGGAGTGAGGGGGCAGGCCGGTGGGGAGCTTTTTGTCTGAGAGTGACCCTGCAGGAGTGACACATCGTTTGAGGACCACGCTGCCGGGGGTTGCATGAGTCGAGCTCATCTCAGTGAGCGAGACGACTAAATGAGAAGTCTTCAAAGAGAAATCCTCATGGCTGCGGCTGTAATTCTCTCCTCCATATCCGTTATCTCTCCTTTGAACCTTGCCTCTTCTCCTCTCTTCCACTCTGGACTGATCAAAATGGGACTCCTTTTCTTCTTCCTCCTTTTCCTCACCCTTACTCCTTCCTCTCTCCCCTCTCAAATCCTCTCTGTCTCTCTCCTTCTGTGGGCTCCTCTCCCTCCTGCCCTCCTCATAAGCTCTGTTCAGACAGGCCAGGTTGTGAATCGCTAGCCAGGGTTCAGATGATATTCTCTGTCTGAGAGGGGGAGAGCTGCACCGGCTCAGTGGTTCACAGGAGGGACGTCTGCTGCTAATGCTGCTGCTACTTCCTCGTTGGCCTGGTGGAAGAAAAGAAGTCAGTTTTAGGGGTTAAAATCATAGATGTAGAAGCTGTTGAGAAGAGGCATCCTTTCTCTGTTGCTGTAATGTTTCTTCATATTTGTCATAAAGCTGGCTCCCTGTTGGATACATACAAGGCTTTTAATCTACCAATATAGTGTCTTAAAAAAGGTGAACATCTATGATAAAAGTCACTGATAATGTCTTGTTTAGAAGATATAAGCTGCAGCAGTCGTCACATTGTGATATCTCTGTCCCTGTGATTTACATCTGCCCACTTTGAACACCTCTCACAGTGCCACGCAGGAAGCCATGGCAATCCATCCTATTTCAGTGCAGAATAAAGTGAGGCAAAGCTACACATTCATATAAATATGTTGTGCATAGCGTGTGCTATAAATTTTAAAAATATTCAGCCAGGTTTTCCCCAGTTCATCACTTACCCTCACATGACACATCTTTCCCATAACAACCATCTGTCTTTATTCACTCTGCTTCTATGGTACAAATCGAGTTCATAGACGGGACCTGTAGCTTCCTTCATTACAAGCTTCACTCACCCTGGCAACACATGTTCATTTTCTCTCCTCGGGAATGAGCGTGCAGCTAATGATTTCAACCACAAGGCATTTATTCTCATCTGTCTAGACTTGTTTTTGTTCAGTGCTGATCTGCTATTATCCAGGAGAGGCAAGTGTCTGCATATAGAGATTGCAGTATTGATCTGTTTTAAGGCGGTATAGCCAGACAACTCTGATAATATTATTCAGAGCCGGTTAGGGAATCCGTTATGCTGTGGAGGGAGTGTTTTGTTGACATGGATCGGGTCCGCTAATCCTTTAAAGAGAAGCGTCTCTGAAAATCAGAACTCGTCCTGTGATGAAATGTTTCTGTTCAGATGGAAAATGCCGTGAGGGCTGCAGTTGCAGTTCTGACTGGTTTGGTGTGGTCAGAAGTGCAGCTTAACTAAAACCAACAGTCGTGTCAGTGTCTTTAAATACAGTTGTGGTCAGAAGTTTACATGGAGTCATCACGGGCATGGCTGTCAAGATCATTTTCGGCTTTTAATGATTTCCTTTGAATTCTGCTTTTTCCAGGGTGGAATGATTATACAGCAGACATCTTTATTGACTTTAAAAAACAAGAATTGGATGCACAAGTTTTTTTCAAGTATACAAGCAACTCACTGAAGATCTAAGAAATAGAACTGAAGATTCAAACAAACTGGTAATGTCTCTCTGAGCCATTTCTAAACAACTGCATATTCTAATATCATCAGTTCAAACGGTTGTATGTAAGTACAAGTTATTCAGATATGTCTTAATAACTTGGGGATTAGAGAAATTCCAAAATAAATTCAAATGTATGCACCCAGTTCTTTTTATTTAAGACATTGAAGGTGTACAGCCATTTCAGTGTACAGCCTGCTGGTGTGGGATACACCATAATTCAATTAAACCAAGGCATTTTCCTGTAAACAAAGCTCATTACTCACTTGTTGCTCTGAAGTTGAAGATGTTTTCGCCCTCGGGTGAGTTTGGCGAGCCTGTCTTCAGGACGATGTCAGATGGGGACATGCAGGACACCGGTGAGGTGTTTGGGGATGGGAGAACATTCAGATAGCGTCTGGTCACAGGGCCTCCATGCACACCCACCTCCGTGGCAATGATGATGATGTCACGACCTCTGACCTGACATGCATCCATCAATACCTGAAGTACAAGAATGCTGGTAAAGTAACTTTACAGGTCTTGTGGAGGTGTTGAAATCTCCTTCTTTTGGAGTTCTATTACATCCTGGTAGTTTTAATGATAATCATTTAAAATGAATTAAATTATATCAATTAATTGAAATGAACTCCATCTTAGGATGGTATAGGGTTAAAACCCTAACTTATAAACAATGCAAAACCTCATAATATCCTCTTCCATCCTTTAAATGTATTGATTCACACTTTATTTCATTTTTTCTTTGCTCCTTACTAACCTTCAGAGTAGGCTGATGCTGCGCGTTGATGGCGTAGACCAAAGCTGAGGCTCCAGAGTAATCCTCCATGCTTGGGTCGGCTCCTGCAGCAAGGAGTGTGGCTGCGACCTGAGCTCCCGCACGCTCCATACAGGCGTACATCAGCGCAGTACGCCCCGCCCGGTCTTGTGCATTAGGATCTGCCTGATCGGTGCAAAAGATCCAATTGAGTGATTAATTCAGTGATAAATGGTTATCCCAGAAGGGACATGGTCCGGTGTTAGGAGTCACTCGGAAAGCTCAAGTGTGTATTTTATAGAAACCAAATTTAGCAGAATTCTGTGCAATTTGGCTAATGCTCTCTTAATTAGAACTGATCTGGCACTGTTGCTTTTGTGTTGTGGCTCTCAACTGTGACTCACAGTGTGTTATATTCTGTTCTCCGGTGCCAGCATGTTCAGGAACACCCTTTTAGTTGGATGGGGTACACAAGCAGAGCTGGATAGATCACAAGCCTGTTTACTATGCATTAAAAGTTCTCCTCTCTTAGAGCAAGTACAGTTTTTTATGCATTAAAAATACACCTAAGTCAATAAACTGCTGAACTTGTATGCACATGTTTACATTCAAGTGTCTGTATTTAATGGTGACTATTTGTCACTGAGGACTGACCTTGTTCTGGAGGAGGTATGTGAGGAGCTTAATTGTCTCAGGCCCAGCAGGCTCCCCTCTCAGGGCCTTGCAGGCAGCCAGCAGAGCTGTCTCTCCTTTAGGGTTGCGCCCATTTACCTCTGCTCCACCGTCTACCAGCAGACGGACCAGACGGAGCTTCCCAGAGGATGCTGCACTGATGAGCGGGCTACAGTCTGACAGAGGGTCCAACATCGCCGCTGTAGGGCATTCAGTCATTTATCATTCTGATACTAATAATATCATATCATATATATAGATGCAGAAATGCCTCAATCCTGTAATCAGAGCACTAATTGGATTACTATGACATGCACATGCACTATATTGCCAAAAGTATTCACTCATACATCCAAATAATTGAATTCAGGTGTTCCAATAACTTCCATGGCCACAGGTGTTTAAAATTAAGTCCTCAACTTTCTGCAGAGTCAATCTCTACAGACCTGCAAACTTCATATGTTCACCTGATTAGTTCAAGAAGCATGCATAGAGAATGTTTTTCTAGTGATGACCCCTTCCTGTTCCCACATGTCTGTGCACCAGTGCACTAACCAGGTAACATAAAGACACGGATGAGCGAGTTTGGTGTGGAAGAACTAGACTGGCCTGCACAGAGTCCTGACTTCAACCAGACAGAACACATTTGAGATAAATTAGAGCAGAGACTGCGAGCCAGGCCTTCTCATCCAACATCAGTGTCTAACCTCACAAATATGCTTCTGCAAGAATTATCAAAAATTCCCATAAACACTCCTAAACCTTGTGGAAAGCCTACCCAGAAGAGTTGAAGCTACTTTAGCTACAAAGTGGGCCGACATCATATTAAATCCTTGGATAAGGATGGGCTGTCATATGTGCATGAAGGCAGATGAGTGAATGCTTTTGGCTATTTAGTGTCTGTGTCAGCAGTCGTCCTCTCATGCACCTGTCGCTCATTCAGATGTGCAGAAATTCTACATCAGAGTTGTGCAAGCAACAGAGATACTTATAAAAAGTAAATTTAAAGAAGACTGGGGAAAGATTTTCGATTTTCTTCCTTATGTCATTTTAAAATTTTCTTCTAATATCAGTGAAATTTTTAATGGATGAGCAGAGTATCTACAAAGTACCTACATTCAACATCATTCTTACCTTAATTTTTCTGTTCAGTCTGTCTTCTTCAACAAAACACAAAGACAGCAGTCATCTTCAAGTTATCTAGATACGATGCAAAAAAAAAACCTACTACCCTGCTCCGAATTTTATCCTGATTCTTTACTAGCTTGGTTTTCTGCATGAAGCGTCCTCGTGTCGCTGGTCTGCAGCAATCAGCCGAACATGAAGTGATAGGATACTAACTTTCATGTACTCCCTCGGTCTCTGTCTCCCTCCGTCCTGATCTGTCCTCTCCTTACCTGCTGGGTCAAAGGGAGGTTCAGCCCACGGCTACTGTTCAAAGTCATAAATGGTTTTAAGCCCAAAATGTCACCTGTTGCAAACACTACACTTCAAAAGAGCCAGAGGGCCTTTGATATGAGTCAGCTTTGAACAGTTCTCATCTGCTTTGAGACCATCTGTGTTCAAACACTGGCAGGGAGACATAGATGAGAAACAGAACTAAGGCTAAGCAGGCTCACACATTAAACTCATGGCAGCTCATTTGTATCTGAACATTTTTGACGCACTTCTGTTGTTTGTATTTTAATCTTTTGTTCTTTCAGAGCACTAAGCGGCTGTTAATATACAGTCATGGTAAAAAGAAGTACACCTATACAGTTCTTATCGGGATAAATTAGGTAAATATGACCTCAAAAGAACAACACATTAGAATATAATGTGACATTATTCAGATCTACTACAATGACCATTAAGTAGGTCATTGACCTACTTAATGGTTACACCAGTGAACAATTAAGTGAATCATCCTGGTGGAGGACCGTTTTTCAAACCTAAGCCGTGCTGCCATGTTCTTTTTTACAGAAAAGAGGCTTTCGCTTCTTCTAAACAAATCATACCTTTTCAGTCTTTTTTCTAACTGTGCTGTCGTGAACTTCAATATTTAACCCTTGTATGGTGTTCGGGTCTGTGAGACCCGTTTTCAGTTTTTTTTCAAAAGAAAAATTAAACAATTAATTATTTTTTCAACCTGAAATTCATTGGCTTTGGCTTATTTTCTGTGAAGAACATAAATCCGGACTAATTTTCAATGACCTCATACTGTACCTCCCCCCACGCATTTACATTACATACAAGGTGTTCGGGTCCACTGGACCCAGGTCTAATAAAAGCGTTGAAAGTGCAGGTCCTGTGTTCCCACACTCTGTCTTCCTCCTTTCTGGTGCTGCTGATAGTGTTTTCTTCCCCTCCTGCTCCCGCACAAAGTTGCAACATTGTTGAAAATTCAACTATAAACACCGTCTGCTCTTACATTCCCACACATTTTACCCTCTTTCTTGAGGGATCCAAATTTTATTTTCTCATACCCTGTCCCACCTGCAAATTAGGGGCATAATACTATAAATAAGACTTTGCCAGTGTGGTTCTTTATCACAACTGATCAAGATGGCAAAAGATTATCTGCTGCGAGGGCCATCCAATTGATTTTGGAAGAGAGAGGGGCTTCTGATGATGATGTTGACAAAGAGGTTTCAGAATATTTCACATTTCTGAAAATTCAGAGTCTGACA